AAAGGACCGCCTCTCCCCACTACCTGTTTTCCCATCACACGACTGCAAAGGAACCGCTCATCCCACTACCTGTTTTTCCCATGTCGCGACTGCAAAAGGAACGCCTCTCCCCACTACCTGTTTTCCCATCTCACGACTGCAAAAGGCACCGCCGATCCCACTATCCTGTTTTCCCCATCTCGCGACTCGCAAAAGGACGCGCCTATCCCCACTACTGTTTTATTCCCATCTCGCGACTGCAAAAGGATAATCTCTCCCACTAACCTGTGTCGTCTCCCCACCCATTACTGTGTCCGTCTCCGCCGCGATTACGCTATGTCCGTGTCTCCCTACGACCCTGTTGTCCGTCTCTCCCATTTACTGTGTCCCTCTCCCACTACTGTGTATTCGCGCCCCCATTACTGTTCCGTCTCCCCCAATTTACCTGTGTCCGTCTCCCCGCGAGTGAGCTATTCCGTCCCCCCAATATCCTGTGTCCAGTCTTCCCGCACCTACTGGTCGTCCGTCTCTCCCATAACCTGTGTCCGTCCTCCCCCAACTAGCCTCGTGGCTTTTCTCTCCCCCCATTTAGTTTTACCATATGTCCGATCTCCCCCACTACCTTTCCGTTCTCCCCCAGCTGAGCCCTTTGGTGTCCGTCCTCTGCCCATAACCTGTGTCCGTCTCCCCCCACTACCTGTGTCCGTCTCCCCCCATTACCTGTGTCCGTCTCCCCCCATGTAAACCTGTGTCTGTCTCCTCCATGCTGCCTTGTCAGTCTCCCCCACTACTGTGTCCGTCTCCCCGATTACCTGTATCCGTCCCTCCTCACACTACCTGTGTCCATCTCCCCCCTCCCCCCCCCGATTACCTGTATCTGCCTACTGACCTGTGTCCCAGTCTCCCCCACTACCATGTGGTCCGTCCTCCCCACTAACCTGTGTCCGTCCTACCCCACTACCTGTGTCTTTCCTGCACCACCCACTACCTGTGTCCTTCATCCTCCGTCTTCCTGCCCACTACCTCGTGTCTTCTCCCCCACTACCCTGTGTCCGTCTCCCCGTCTCCCGCTGCGCCAAAGCAGGAAGCCCCGAAGCCTCCTGGCGTCGCAGGCATCAAGAGGAAGCGGATTTCAGTCTCGCTTTATCCCGCTGCAGCTCGACATCCTCACTAAAAGCCAGATAACTTCATTAAAAAAATAAAGTATCATTCAAAAGCGTCCAAGTTTACTCGACGTTTGCACAATTAATGTCATTAAGATAACTTTATTAATCTCATGTACGCGGCGCGCTCAAACAGTTCCGCCATCTGGGAGTGAGGGCTTGAGGGGCTGGTGACGGGAGTGAGAGGAAGTGACGGAGAGGAAGTGGTGACGGGAATGAGAGGGAAGGTGACGGGAGAGAAGGGTGTGAGGGAATGTAGAGGGAAGGTGACGGGAGAGAAGGGCTGGTGACGGGAATGAGAGGGAAGGTGACGGGAGAGAAGGGCTGGTGACGGGAATGAGAGGGAAGGTGACGGGAGAGAAGGGCTGGTGACGAGAATGAGAAGGGAAGGTGACGGAGAGAAGGGCTGGTGTGAACCGGGAATGAGAGGGAAGTGACGGAGAGAAGGGGGCTGGTGAGGAGGAATAGAGAGAATGGTGAAGAGGGAAGAGTGACGGGAGAGAAGGGGGAGGTGACGGGAGAGAAGGGCTGGTGACGAGAATGAGAATGAGAGGGAAGTTTGGGATGACGGGGCAGAGAAGGGGTGGTGACGGGAATTGAGAATGAGAGGGAAGAGTGACGGGAGAAAGGGCTGGTGACGAAGGAATGAGGCAATGAAACGGAGAGAAGCGGCTACGAGAATGGAAATGAAGTGACGGGAGAGAAGGGCTGGTGACGGGAATGAGAATGAGAGGGAAGGTGACGGGAGAGAAGGGCTGGTGACGGAATGAGAATGAGAGGGAGAGTGCCGGGAGAGAAGCTGGAGTGAGGGAAACGAGAGTGGAAGTGTGACGGGGTAAGAGGGCTGGTGACGAGAATGAGAGGGAAGGTGACGGGAGAGAAGGGCTGGTGACGGGAGAATTTGAGAAGGTGGAAGGTGACGGTGACGGACGTATTATGGGCTGTGTAGACTGAGAATGAGGACAGGTGAGGGTGACGAGAAAAGCTTGAAGGGGTTAGTGGGAAAATGAGACTGGGGCTAGAAAGGAACCGTCGTCGAACGTAAAAGACCTGAAAGGGGTTGTGGGAAATTGAGACGGGGGTTTTGAAAAGAGAACCGAGACGTCCGAACGTATATAGGGCTTTCGAAGGGGTGGGTGGGAAAAGTGAGAACGGGACTTGAAGAGAACCGACGTCGAACTGAAGAGGCTTCCGTAAGGTTAGTGGGAAATGAGTAACGTGGTTTTGAAGAGAACCGGCGTAGAAAAGTAAAGGGCTTCGTAAGGGGTATTGATGTGGGAAATGAACGGGAGCTTGAAGGGAACCAAGCGGCGTCGAACTGTGAAGAGCCTGGAAGGGCTCTGTGGGAAATGAACAAC